GATGTAATATGTAAGCCAGTCTTCGGACGGCCCACCCATTTGAACTAATAAAGTGCCAGGGGCCTAAGTGGTCACCTTAATATTAAAAAAAAAAAAAAAAAAGTATCTACTAAGACTATGTATTCAAAGATAGTAAGTATCTAGGAATACTAGTTTACTCAGATATAGAAAACTAGCAGTTGTTTTAAAAGTGTAAAGCTAACAAGGTTTATACATGGTTTGAAAATAAATAGTTTTGGCAGATTGCAATTATATATCTGATTTGTTTTGTTTATGAGTTGTGCTACTATAAAAGGTAAATAAGGGTAATTTGATAAAGTTAGAAAAATCTTGTATAATTTGATATCTATTAGTCCAAATTGAATGATTTTAATACTATTTAATTTGTCTCGATAAAATGAATCAAATGGTACTAAAATCATTCAATTTGGATCATAGAATTATAAGTTATTAACAATCATATGTTATATAAATTTGGATTAGAATATTGTGCTAATAGGGATAATTTGACAAATTGTGAAGATATCTCATAATATTATAACTAAAACCAGGCAATTTTAATGCTATTCAATTAGTTTTATTAAGATAATATAAATGGTACAAAAATCTTTTAATTTTGATTACTGGTCACAAGATATTAGCATTTGAATATATCTGAATATGTCTTAATATAATTATTAATTTTTTTAAAAAAAATTTATAATTTATATTCAGACACCAATATTTTATGACCCAGTAGTCAAAATCAAACAATTTTTGTACTATTCAAATCATTAATTGAATAACAATAAAATTATTAGATTTTATCATGGAGTCATGTAATAGTATTATAATACAGTAGATTGGCAAAATTAGACCTTTTAATTAAACTCTAAATTAATTATTTTAAGAGTAATAAATTAACAAATTATATAAATATTAGTTATCTAAAGCTAGTGCATATTACTTTTGTATTACTTTATTAAATAAATTTAGAGTTCAAATTTAAGTATCTAAATAAAAAACCAATTTCACCAATCCACTATAATAATATTTTAGCTAGATTTAGTAGATGGAATTTTTTGCTATTCTTTTTGGTTTTTTTTTATTTTTACCCTTTATATTTGTTTATATATATATATATTTGTTTTTTCTTTTTATTAGTTATATTTATTTTCTTCTTGTTTTTTATATTTTTTATATTTTTTTTGCCTCTTTGAAGAAGAAAAATATTAAGAAAAAGGCAATTTTGACAAAGCTAGCAATAAGCTTTTGGTGATTTGATAAGTAATCATCTAGTAAGTTAGATACCAAAGATGAGAGTATATATTGCTGCAGCAGATCACACTTGAGCACTCTTGGAAGCAGCCAAGTGAGTTTTTATCGAAAAGTTAGTTATTGCAGGCTACTTGTTTGAAACTCGATAATAATGTATATTATACCTAAATTCTAGTTAATAAAGACAGGATTACTAAAGTTAAATATATATATATACTGTATATAAGGCCATATAAACTTAATTTTTTGGTTCTCATAACCCGGCCGGGTAATATTTTGAAAATTTTTTGAAAAAAATTTTTTATATGTTTTAATAGGCGGGTGGGATTTCAAAAAAAATTTTTAAAAAATTTTATAAAATTCAAAATTTTTTATATATAAAATTTTTAAATAAAAGTACGGGCGGGCGGGTCATTTTTTTTGTCCCATGTTATGAGAACCAAAAAATTAACTTTGTATGGCCTAATATATACTTCAATTTTATTATTAAAACTTTGTAACAAAAATTATAAATCTTATAATTTTAAAAAAAAATTTACAATACACGTAGGATTTATTTATTATTCACCGATAATAATTTTTAGGGTTAACATTTACAGTAGTACGTTTTTGTGATATACTGTAGCAACCCTGGTGATGGTGAGCGTTAAATTGTATTAATTATTTATGAAAAATAAATGATTTTAATGCTCACCGGTAGGGTTGTTAATGGAGCACTCCAGTCAATAGTAAAACATATAACCCACTCCGGAGTACTCCAGAAGTGGGTTATATGTTTTATTAATGTCTGGAGTACTCCATTAACAACCCTACTCACCGGAGTGAAATTCATCGAGGGTGCTATACAGGACCTCTACATCATGTTATATAAAACTCCTCTTTTATTCCTTAACCCTAAAAATTACATGAAAAATCAAATTTTAAAAATTTTTATACACAATTTTAGCATTTTGATTGATTATAGATCACAATTTCTTAATTACTTTCAAGAACTTTGGGATGACGAAATTTTGGACAATAATTCTAAATCATGTGAAGTGGCCCGAATTATGGAATTTTAAAAAAAATCAGCATTCCAGGCACGTGCCAAGACACCATTTTTGATAGTCCGTGCCCGGCACTTGTAGAGCCTTATCTTAGACTGCTAGCTTTTGAGGATATTTGTCACTGGAACCACTAGACGTTATGGACCATCCAGTGAGTAAAAAATCGTCATAGCAGTCACTGGAATCCCAATTTCTAGTGATTTTCACTAGACCGTTATGTTTTTTTGAAGACATTTATTATAAATATACACCCCATTACTATAAATTACCAGATGGCTATACACGACGATCACGTGACTTGTTTCAAATTTCCAAACTGCTAAAATTTTTTATACAAGAGGTTTTTCAAAAAACTGGCCGGTAATTTTATAGAGCTATATAAGCTCTTGAAAAACCTCTTGTATAAAAGTTTTAGCAGTTTGAAACTTGATATTAAAATATTAAGATTTATATATAAAATAAACTTTAAAATGCTAAAACTTTTTACGAAGACATTATTTTAAAAATCTGACCGGTAACTTTGTAGAGCTCATCATGAAGAACAAAGTTACCGGTCAGATTTAAAAATATTGTCTGTGTAAAAAGTTTTAGCAATTTGAAAATTATTGTCGAGTATAGATGTCTTGCACCATATTAGATAAAACACTTGATTAGTAACCCTTACGCGTCAAGATTAACGTAATATTACGCGACGTGACAACGTGCATAGAATATTTATATTTCTCTATTTAATATCGAGCGTGCGTGGCCAACAATTCTTAAAAAAAGTTAGTCTCAAAGTTACTATATATGCCTCTAATAGACTAACAGGAATGTCAATCATATAAATTTTTCATACGAATCTTCTGAACTTGTAATTGCATTCATTAACGTTAATATTTAACGCACAATTGCTATGCGGACGTAAACTTTATCATCCACTGTATTTTCCTGTATTATAAAGTAATTGAATGCAATTATTTAATCGTTTTTTGGTAGGTCAAAATTAAATGCAACGAATCATTTTTCATATACGTATTTGATTTTTTTTTTTAAAAAAAAAGTCAAATCCATGAATATGTAACATTTTATTTATTTTGTTCTAAATGTCTAAAATAAAATTGATCCATCAAATGGATCTTGAAAAAAAATTTTTTAATATGCACAATTTTTTAAAATTAAGCATGCACAAAGGTTTTATATATAACATTCGTGATTAATATGAAACAAAAGAATGTAAAAATATTTACTACATATGTATAAAAAATTTATATTACTATTATTATTTTTTATGTTTACAGGCTTTTCAAAACATTTTCTGCAAAGTATGAAAATAGGATTTAGAATAAAGTTAAATAGAATTGATATTGGCGATAAGAAAAAGAAAAAATTTTAAAACTAACCATATATGTGAGGAAGATGATCCATCATCATACGTGGAGAAAACGTAACTTCATTAAATATTTTTTCGACATCGACATCCAACATATAATATTGCTTATTTGTTTTATCTTCAAGAAAAGAGTTCTCCCGGTCCATACCTTCTTCCTCATCATCTGAATCCTCTTGATCATTATTTTCTTCACAATATGGGACTCTATTACCATTTACAATCCAATAGACTTTACCGGGAGGATATAGCTTAGGGTTTTGCATATGTTGATAACAATCATTTCTAACTTTCCAGAACCAATTTTCAAATTCTTCTCTATTTTCTTTTCCTCTTTCATCATTACTAAACGTTCTGCTTTGATAGTCGATGAATTTTTTAATGATTTTGCTTGCAGTCTCTTCTCCAGCTTCACCAGATTTTGATTTATTTGAACCAAGAAACCTGACCATATTACGTAAATCCAATACATGACCAAGACTTAGACGACAAACCACATCGTTACCATATGCTACGGATGTAACTAAGGGTTGAACACGCTTTGAAAGAGCTTCAGACATTACACACGGAGTCGCAAACGCGTATGCATGAACTTTACGACCAAGTGGTAAACGACTCCACCGTGTAGTCATACAATTTTTCGGTGAGGCAAGAAGAAGAGCTAATATACTCGCAACACCTATACAAATATAAAATTGAAATAAAAAAAATATGTTAAGTATAAAAAATATATAATAATTCATATTATCAATAAATTTGTTAAAATTATTGTTAAATAATAATTGTTAAATAATTCTTAAAATAATAATTATAATTACTATTATTATTATATTATTATTATAATTATTATTACCTACAATTATTATTATTATTATTATTTTATTATAATTATTATAATTATTATAATTATTGTAATATATTAATCAAAAATTATAAAATGCACCTATGATGTTCAACATCATATTATATAAGTTTTTACGGGTAAAAATTTAGAGTTGGGCTTAAAAGTTGGGGTTAGAATTAATTAAGATTTTTTGAGGGGACGTTGAGTATTTTTATATAGAACATAAATACAGAAATATCGGACTCGTTGAGATAATCCCTAGGGGGATATTATTAAATTAGCCGGATTATCCGGTAATTATCAGGTAGCCATATAATAGCGGGTTCAACACCTATAGTGCATTTTAGTCAACTTGATTATAATAATAATCTGGTTGCTTACTATGATAGTGCTTTGTAAGTACAATCGTCGTAAACTACCAGATAAAATCATTATTGTATGCTATGCAGCTAATGACTTGTTTATCTGGCTACGAAATTTTAGATATCATTTCTGAGCACTGATAGAGTCCAGAAACTGATATGTTAAATTTCACAACCAGATAATGAAATTTACATTATTTTGCTGCTTCACATTCAATAACTATATATTATTATAATAATTATTATAATAATTATAGTAAAATAATATTACTAGTTGTTATTATTAGTAATGATTATAAATAAATATTTACCAGCACCAAGCGAATGTCCAACTAAAACCAAACCATAATCATCATTAGCTTCCATTTCTCTCTTAAGGGCTTCAAATATACCAGATTGTCCAGGAGTGGCAATTTGTTTAGCAACTTTAAGCATTCCTTTATGAATTTGATATTTTTTTGTTGATTCACCACGTTGAATATCCTCTGGAAATTGAAAATCTTCATATTCACAAGTAAGATCAACGATTAAATCATGAACAGACATTGTTCCACGTAAAGCCAAAATGATAGATTTTGTAGTATGATCACGAATTAAGAAATAAGTAGGTTGATAAGAACCATTATTTTTTGCACTTCTTTGAAATGAAGAATCAACAATGGAATCAGAAGACAATTCAGCAGAACGAGCAAAATTAAACCGGTGTAATCGACCCTTTTCCTTTGAACGATTAACAGGTAAAGGGAAAGGTATTCCACCCATTATAGCATTCCTTATATCATAAGCAGAAGAAGAGAATTTAGAATATCTTTTGAGATTATGTAAAAGAGAGAATAATTTTTCTTTCTTAGTTTGAGAACCGTTTTCTTGAAGGTAAGGATTACTAAATCTTTTTGTAGTTTCCATGAAAAGATCACTTAATCTTTTTGTTTGATTTTCATCCATATTAAACTTAAATTCAGATATTTCATCTCTCGGAGTTAAATCACCAACAACTATATTATTTGAACCAGATGGTTTACTTTGACCTATAACTACAACCTCTTCATCATCTTCATCTTCAAAACATATAGATTCCAATTCATTATAAACAGAAAAATCATCTTCATGATTAACATGAACCCAATCATTACAAATGTCTGATAAACCTACTAATTTAACTCTTTTCCAACCACCTAAATCCCTTTCAAATCTTTCACCGGTAACGTATTGTAAACAAGTCCAAGCAGTTAGAGCTTTAACGACTTTAAAAGCACCATATTCATCAGGTTCAAGTAGTTTATCTTCACCTTCATATAGATAATCCCATTCACGTTTAACAAGTTGAACGAATTCGGCTAAAGCTTTAGCAGCATCAGTTGTTCCGAATAAAGTGTCTATTAGGCTCATACTTTCAGAAGCAGTTCCTAAGGCAAGTTGCACCGTTTCGGAAGTGAATTCTAGACCGGCTAGCGCTATTTGTTCAGTTAAAGATAGTGTTCGGTGCAATAACGTTGCTGAAGCGTCGATTATTCTAGGAATAAAGAATAATCTTTAAAATCAATAACAAAAGTTAAAAACGTATCAATAAAACATAGGAAAAAAAGTTGAAAAAAAAACATGCAATATAAAAAAAAAAAAAAAATAAGAATAAAAATAAAAATGAAAAGAATTAAAAATTTACCCTCCATTTCCGTCTTTAGTTGCTTGTACAATCCTATCAGATACAACGCCGGTCATAGTTCTCGCAATATCTAAACCTAAGCTGGTAGATATTTTTGCGGTTCCCAAGGCAAATTGAGATAGGAAACTAGCAATGTCCAAGCCAACCCTTGATACAGTTGTAATATTCGATATTGCAACAGCCAAATCGGAATGAGTCTTATTAACAAGACTTAAACTATTATTAGCACAGGATGTTGTAGCAACAACTTTGTCACTTTCACCTTCACCTTCGCCTTCGCCTTCGGAGATAATAATCATTGGTGTTTTAGTTGATATAACTATCGAATCAGTTTTAGAAAAATTATCATGAAGGGATTCATCGTTACAAGCAAATTCACTAGGTGAAACCACAAGAATTTTAGAAGGTTCGCTGACTCCACCAGTAACCTTATTCGCATCATAATCCACCGCAGTTTTATCAATGTTAGAAAGCATTTTGGAGTATAATAATTTTAACGATAAAAAGAAAAATGAAATAAAAAAAAGGTAATAATTTATTGATGAGTATATATATATATATATATATATATATATATTATATATATATCAATAAGATGATGGTGGATTTTATGATGAAATTCTGGTTTCGGGAGAACAGAAAGCAAGAACTTGGAAATAACAAGAGAATATTTTTGGGTGGAGTGTAACTTATAAACTTGGGTGGCTGGACAAACACAAAAAAACTATTAGGGGATATATAGTAAATATTTATAAAATATTTATTAAAAATATCAAGTGATCAAATGATCATTAACAAAAGGAACAACAACATAACCTCAAAAAGTGAATGAATACGCCTATATAAATAAAAAAATTTTTGGTTAGATAAATTAACTTCTACATTTGGTCATTTGTTGGGGAGATTATTTTTTTTTTTTTTTGATACCTTTGAGTTACAATTTCGTACGTACCCTTCATTTCGTGTACCGAGTTCTTCACATTTTTGTAATTAATAATTTCAATTTAAGAGATTTTTTTCAAGATTTTTTGTCTCGCTTGCATTAAAAAAATTGAAAAATAAAATTTAAAGTTTTAATAAATAATATTATTAATAATTTAGGCTATATAGTTATAATTACTTCGAAGTTCCAAGAAAATATTTATTTATTAATAAAATCATATAAATTCCTAATTACGTATATTTACGTATAAAACTAACTATAAATGCCTTCATGTGATCTTTTTAAATGATATTTTAACAAAAGCGGGGTAAGATAAAAATGGGTTGGTGCCTCATAATTCTCCATAACTTGCACATGATGATGTAAAAATAGTAAAAAGGCAAATTTTATTATATATCAAAATATATATCAGTATAAATCAGTATATTAAGATGAATAAAAGATAATCAATCTGATGAATAACAAAAATGCATGCTTACGTTACCATTACTATTTCGAACTTCCAGATTTAATAACTGATAACTGATAACAAATTATTATTATTATCGTGTACGTACTTATGTGTTATCAGTTATACGTATTAAATGCTAGTTAGCTATATATCCTACAATAATATATATCAATAATATCAATAATATCAATAATATCAATAATATCAATAATATCAATAATATATATGATATATAAATACTGCGTTTATTCACCGTTTTTATCGAATTTGATACTAATTCGATAAATTTTTTTCATTATTTGAAGCTACTTTTATCAATACGCCAATTTTGAAAAAAATTTATGATCAACGATCAATTTCCTATTTATCTAAAGACTTGTTGATAACTGGTAAATATTCGTAGTTAACAGAATCAAGAACTCTCCGGAAAAATCTTTACTTTAGGACCCTGGTTTCATGAAAAAAACTCGTGAAAGATTGCGGAAATCATGAATTATCCAAATTTGATAGACAACAAACATTACCTAATTGTGATCCGGCGTTATCTGTTATGAATGAAGAATGTAACTCTGATTACAATCCATGAGATGCTGAATTTCATGGTTTAAAATTTTCCAATATTGTACATATACTGATATTGTTTTAGCTAAATCCGGATCAACAAATATTAGCATTTGTATATTTACAATTTTGAAACTGGTAGTTTTTCATGATAGGTATCATTAATAACCGAATTACATAATGATTAATTATTTGTACGTATCAAGTTTTTCTGTAATCCATTCCATTACCGTAATTATTTATATTTATATTTAATACCCCGCGAATAATAAGTTATACTGTCAAAATTCAAAATTCAACAATGGTGAATGTTATATATATATAATTATTATGATTATTAGGATTATTCATATGAAAAATTATTTTTTAATATAGTTCACGCCTAGTTTTAGAAAGTATAACCATACAAAGTTAATCAATTCTTTTTATTACATATGAATTTTTAAGAGTGACCCACTAACCTGGCTTTTAATTATGACCGGTAGTTTCGGCGTTTTCCTTTTGTAACACTCCTGAAACCTTTGATCTGTGACAAATTGTCTTAAAGACTCAGTATGTAAGTATATATACTATATATTTATTTTTAATACCGGTTTCGATTGTAATAATTGATTATAATTTAACAAAGATTTAAAATAAAATTTATGCAAAGCTGCGTGTTGTTGAAAAATCATTTATTAGCCTCGACTGATAGTATCCGATATGTCTGACGTAAGCACTGAATGTAACATTCGGTCACCTAATACAAATATGCAAATGTTTATTTACTTCATATGTAAGAGGTGACCGAAAAAGTTACACGAAAATCATTCTGATAATACTTGATATTGTCTAATTGCCTAATTATACATATATATACTCTCAGAATACATACAGTACACGTTAGAGATGTGAACCGTTTGCCGACTTAATAGTTTTTGGCCCGAATTACAGTTAATTATTTTCAAAAACTGTTAGGATCGGCAAACGGTTCGCTTCTCTAACGTACGTACGTACGTACGTGCGTAGAAAATTTTAACATTATTAGCAAAAGAAATGCATATATGCACTGTTTAAACGTATGCATAAAAAGTTTCTAATAGATAGCATGTAATTAGATACGTACAGCAGTATTAACTTTATATGTAAATTTATACGTATTAATTTTTAATAAGTACGTACGTATGTATTGCATTTTTTTCATATTTTATACGTAAATTATATAATATATATTATATATATATACGTGTCAATATACTGTTAATTTTGTTAATACGTATAACTAAAGTTATAATTTTATTAATTAACAAAAAATTATACAGATAATTTTTTGAAAGTTTTTATAAAAGTATTGTGCAATTTAAAACTATATAAGCATTATTGTAGTATGATACATATAACAATGCAGCAAGTATGTATAGACAAATATTAGTGCTAATTTTCTACGTAGTATAATAATACCGCAATTTGCGGCATTACATTCCTGGGGCAAAATCTTGATTAATACCCGATGGGTGGTGGATATTTTATGTGAGAAGTTTATGTGAGAAGTTTACATAAGGGAATACTTTAAATGCAATAAAGTTAACCAATCATCATTTAAGTAAACGCGACACACAGCACAGTATGTTTTAGTACCCAGGTCCTTTACAATCATGTTTACGAAATATACTTGATTAATCCCAGTTACAAATCGTGGGGGTATGCTTATAAGGGGGATTCAAAGCATATATACTGTATATCAAATAAGGTTTTTAATAAACTTTTATTGTGATTCTAAATTGGGTTTTTGCTTTGGTATTTTTATAGTTTGGATCTCAATCACATTAAGAATATAGGCTATATACTAAAGCAAAGTATCAAAAAATAGCAAAAAAGTAGTTCATAATACTAACAATTTTTTACTAAATTTGTTAAATAATACTATATATAGTAATTTTAATATTTCATATGTATCTTAAACAAAAATATTAAAAAATCTGATGTTAATACTGTACGTATTATTTTTTTAAATTTTAATCTCTAATACGTGCGTATCTAATCTTACTTATTCTAAAAACGTTTATAAAAAAACATGCATATTTTAAATACTAACCTATTTTAGAAGCTACATTTTCCGACAGAGTGAAATCTACGTTGCGAACAAAATTCCTTAGATAATCATGATAATACATAGAAATGTGGCAAGAGATAATCATAACGTGTTTAAACTAGGTTAAATTGAAGTTTGAGCAACATTTTTATTAATAAACTTAATAAACTTTCATATTTTCACGAAATAACGAACATGGACGTTATTTCGAAAATCGTACTTCCTAAAAATAGTATGAGTTCCGAAATAACATATTCAAAATAACGCGAAAATACACAGCAAATAGTCGATTTACTTTGTAAAAAAACTCGTTTTAGACACTCTTCCCCTGAAATTTTTGGTTTAAAATATCTATATCGAATGATTTTATCGAATGATTTTCCTTCTCGTTAATGGTTCAAAATTCGCTCGAACCCGACTCTCAATCCGGTTAAATTTAAAATTAAATACATCATATCAATATGTACGTACAGTATCTTCCATTGACAAATATATCACACAAAACTGCAACAAAAGTATCACGTTGGTTTGTCAATTACGTTTATTATAATAAGAATAATGCCATTTAAATAGATAAACTTGTATCGGTGGCATATAAATTAGGGCATAAAAGCTTACAATTAAAGCTATAAACATTACTAAGCATACTATTAGTAAGCCCAATGACTATATTTAACCACCAGGCTTAATTAAGCATTCAAGTTCAACAGTAATTTTTTAGACTTTATCTCACGATATTCTTTACTTTCTACATGTGTTCAATCAAGTTAAGTCAGGTTTTTGGGAGCTAATCTGAATATCATTGGGGGTCACACCATTCCAATTTTAGCTCTGTTTTGCTAGAATTATAAACGACTATGAATCTGTGGGAAATTTCTACTATAAGTGCCGACTCTCCGACTCTATGCCATAAATATATGCATGATTGAAAAAATTATGTGACTATATGACATGAAAATTATCGAATGTGGTTTTGGAAATTTTCATTATAGCGACCCGATATACTGTATATAAAAACCGTTTTTTTTTATATAAAAAAATTGATATAACTTATATATATATATATATATATATATATATATATATATATAAGTATGAATTACTTTAAATAAAAAGGTTTAAATTGTGATCGTAATGAGGCGATAGTTGTTAAAGACATGATTTTTCAGGGATTTTCGTGTTTGTACATCGATCTCGGACTCCTGGTTTATTTTTACTGTTTTTGACCATTTCATAGATAATCAAATTTTGTTAGATCTTTTTTTTCATAACAGTATTAATGCATTGAGATATATATGTTATATCGATATCAATGCTCTCGATTTATCGTTATTGTTTTACTTAATATGGAACATCTATCAGGGACACGGGGGAAGCAGAAAAGTATTGATTTACATTGTTCATATATATTTTTTTGGTCAAATTGTGAGCAAATCGAATATTTTTAAGA